GAATTCTGGGAGTTGAAGTCCACTCATCTTAAAGTGGCCAAGTTTGGACAACACTGACCTAGACAAAACAACTCTTCCGCATTTATCATGCCATTGCATAACTGCCTGGAAGAGAAGCTCTTTTTTCTCCCTAAAGGTGCCTTTGAAGAACCTGGTCTGAATACTGGGGTGGGATAACACACGCGGGTTTCAAAAGAACAGCAGATAAATGCGAGATAACATCAAAGGCATGCCAGTATTTTGCACATGATTTATGTGCAAACGGTATTGGTCCATGTTGGGGCAATTGAGGGTCATAGCTGGGGCAATTGAGGTCATCCAATCCAGCCCCCGGCTCCACGCAGGATCCACTGGAGTAACTAACAGATCACCAGCAATCCTCTGCAGAAGACCTCCAGTGAAGAAGGCCTCCCCACTTCATTGTCCCAAAGTTCCTCCTGGGGCCTGCACCTCCTCCCTGGTAATTTTAGCCCGTTGGGAAGGCACTCTGCGAGCATTCAGGGGCATTAAAGGATGCTACAGGGAAGACGGTCAGTAACTCTTTTCCACTGCTGTGGGGGATAAGCGGTAGCTACCTAGATATCATTTAAACACAAAATCTTCCTGATGGCAGTAGAACTGTCTTCCTAGCATCTTCTAGGTCCCTTCCAACCCCACAGTTCTCTGATCCTATGGCTTTGGCCCTATCTGTTAGGGCAGGCCTGCACATCTTGTAAAGGGGAAAGGGCCACATTGTTCAATTAAGAATCATGGGCAGCAAGAAATACTGTACCTGGTGTGCCAATCGTGTTTCATGGCTATCGGAGCAGCAGCAGCAGCAGCTTGGAGGTGTTCAGTAGCATGTCTTTCAAGGTGGTGGTGAATTTACTAGAGAAAGATGCCAGTGGGCTGCACAAGGCTGCTTGGTAGATTGTGTGCAGCCTGTGGGCTGTTATGTTGTGCAGCCAGCTCAAGGGCAAGAGAGTTCACTTCTTTTGCGATAACCCTTGAAATATTTGAAGATTGCGACCAGCCTTCTTCTCTGTAGACTAAGCGCACGGGTAGTCCTCACTTAACGATCATTCATTTAGCGATCATTCGAAGTTATGAAGGCACTAAAAAATACTTACGACTTGTCCTTGCACTTACGTTACCTCTGCAGTCACGTAATCATGATCTGGGAGCTTGGCAACCAGCTTGCACTTATGACGGTTGCAGCATCCTGGGGTCACATGATCACCATTTACAACCTTCCCAGCTGGCTTCTGGCAAACAAAATCAATGGGGGAACCATGATTTGCTTAACCACCACCACAAAAAATGTCGTAAAATTCGGTGGCCGCATGGCTCACTTGACGACTAATTTTCAGGTTCCTACTGTGGTCATTAAGCAAGGACCACCTGTATTCCTTTTTAGCTGTCCTGTGTACGGCCTGATTTCCAGACCCTTCAGCCCTTTGAACTTGCTCCATTTTTTCACTGTCTCAGACAGTACTAAGTTCTGACCGCAGCAAATTATTTGATTTATACTGCTGCCGAGTTTGTAATAGCTGTATTTTATATAGTTTTATTGCATTTTAATATTTATTGCTGTTTTATTGTGAACTGCCAAGTCACTTTTTGTGAGATGGGCGGTATCTAAATTTGAAATATAAAAATAGGACGCTTAGATGTGCCAATTTCAAAGATGTGTTTGAGTTGTACGTTGAGTTTATTCAATCAGTGGGATTTTTTTTTACTTTGGCATAACTTACAGATCCACTCTGGACTTTCTCTACCCTTCCATTTGTGAATTCAGTGCATTTAAAAATGCATAACATTTTTTTCAACTTGCTAAACAGGGCTGTGTGCTCTACTTCACTCTTGTGTACTGTTGATGCAGATCATTGTGCACACTGCTGCAAAAAGACTTGAACCCTTGTGTGTCAATTTTTCTGTCCATTCAACACCAACTGTAAGAAATTTGTTAAGCGAGGGTGATTATACTCATTCCTATTTCCTGTGCTCCATACCAATGTAATTCTAATTTACATTTAGGATATAAATGCTAGTAGTCAGCTCCCCACACTAAAAACAGCAGTTTCCTTTTACTAATGCTTATCCTTCCAGGTAAAAACTGAATTTTTTTTTTGGCAACTGCCTGGAAAGAAAAGATCAGCAGGTAAGTCTTTTTAAATAGTGAGATGGAAGAAATCTGTCTGCAAACAGTGACAACTTAAGGATTATAGGTCACTTTTTTTCAGTAATGAACTAGAATAATTTTGTCAGAATATTGTTCTGTGCTGGAAACAACTGCAATTATGTTGTGTGAAACAAAAGAAGCCCTAATAGCTCCCTTCACTTTCCTTTCAGAGGATCTATTCCCTCTTCCTCTCAAAAGGGCTGTTCTAAGACCAAACTGAACAGCAAAATGACACTGGTCAAATACAGGTATGTTTCCCAACTACAATGGCGGCAAATGAAATGGATGCTGCAGCACAAGCATCACCCTTTTGCCCTTCCATCACAATGTACTCTTTAACACTTGTTCCCCTCCTGCAGAAACATGAGTTAAGGCTACTAGAGTCATATTGCTAACTCATCATTGAACTACAATTTTGCATTAGTCCATCAGCAACAGGGCCTAAATAGAACTCCCAACTTTTCTCAAGTTTGAAACTAAATTCATTTGCAGTTTCATGTATGCCTTTATGTAAAACTAAATCACTGATATGCAAAGAGTAACACAACCACATATGGATTTGTACTAGAGTTAACTTAGCCTAAGATGTGGAGCATTTTCCATAAGCTTTTCCAGAAATATTACCTATCTTAATCTGGAGTGTTTCATAATTTTAATCTTCCTATGGCAGAACTAGAAAGGAGTTCAAAGCAGTTATTACTAAGTAATGTGCAACAGAAAACTTTATTAGCATTGACACAAACAGTCTAGCAGTTACTGAAACTTGCATTAACCTTACAATACTAAGCCATTATACTGCTACAGTGCAAACATACATTACTGGCAACTTGAAAACTGTTCAAAACACCTAAATGCCACCTCTCAGACGCAGGACAAGATGGAGGGTGGACTCCTTCTGGATGTTGTAGTCAGAAAGGGTGCGACCATCCTCCAGCTGCTTGCCAGCAAAGATCAGCCTCTGCTGATCGGGAGGAATGCCTTCTTTGTCCTGGATCTTGGCCTTCACATTCTCAATGGTGTCACTTGGCTCCACCTCCAGAGTGATGGTCTTGCCGGTCAGTGTCTTGACAAAGATCTGCATGCCACCTCTCAGACGCAGGACAAGATGGAGGGTGGACTCCTTCTGGATATTATAGTCAGAAAGGGTGCGGCCATCTTCCAGCTGCTTGCCAGCAAAGATCAGCCTCTGCTGATCGGGAGGAATGCCTTCTTTGTCCTGGATCTTAGCTTTTACATTCTCAATGGTGTCACTTGGCTCCACTTCCAGGGTGATGGTCTTGCCTGTCAACGTCTTCACAAAGATCTGCATTTTTTACCTGCAATGACACAACATGAAAATGTCAGAGCTACTTGCATCAAAGTAGAAGAAATTTCTAAATGATATAGGGAAATAACTTTACAAAAAACATTAGAAAACGTATTTTGAGCTGAAAACAAAGCATCCATCTCATTATATCATCAATATCAATTACGCTAAGGTAGATAACAAAACGCCATTCCATGTTTCACACAGAAATCCTATCATGCAGATGAAATATTGAGGTATTACCACAAGGTGATTTATACTTTGCTGTGAACGTATTTTTTCATATAAGAACAGAAATACCATCCCAGTTCATTTAGAAGTGTAAGTTTCACAATACTGAATTAAAACAATTTGCTGAATTTTTTTATTGCAATATTCCCATGTAAATTTATAAGCAACATACAAAACAATTTCCACTCATATTAAAAAAGTACATCGTAAGCTTCTCTGCACCTCAAATTTGTTATTTAACTTCCTGCTACCATCAAATTAATAATCCAATTGCTACAAAACAATTGTAGCAATTCTTCTAATACAGTAGCATGTTGAGAGAAGCACACCTACAAAGCTATCTCAAAGTACGCCAATACATAAATAGCATTGGATTGTTCTGGGAGAACATCTCTTGTGTACTTCTATTCTTTCTGACTTAACATCAGCCACACTCCATAAACTACCTTAGTTCAGTAGCTGGTGCCATCTTTCTATGTTGGATTTTTAATCCCCATAAACACTGTATTTGCCAGTCAATATCTAGGTTATCTGGAGATTCTGTGAACAACTCCAGCAAACAGCTGGATCAGGAAGGTTACCCTACAGCACCTATTAGCATGAAAATACTGATACCAATAAAAAATTCAGGACCAATCATCCTGAATTGGACAACCAATCGTCATCCAATTACCTTTTGTAATGTTATCATCTAGCAGTGCAATTGCGCATAAACAGTCATCCTAGTAATTGGTCATCCTAGGATACCTTATTTTTTTAGTGGGGCTTTTTTTTAAAGGATAAACCACCAACCAACCTGTTCCCTCAAATGTGTTCAACTAGAGATATCCGCAGTGATAGGTCATTACTAACTCAAGTAATGAGCGCCAGGCTGGGGGAGAATCGCTTACATTCGCCTGGGAGGAAATCTTACTGAGTGGTAGGGCTAAGGCTAAAGTAGGACGTAGAGAGGATCACGCCGTAGAAATCCATAACTGAGACTAAGCCTCGCACACCGCTGCCTTCTTGAAATGCTTTGGGAGGCTTAGGTTTATGGAGGGTTGCCGTATTTTTCTTTCAGCACCCTTTTTCTAAACTTTGACCTCTCGGGCGCCGAAAGCGGCACCTCCGAGCTCCTTCAGCCGCCCCCGCGACGAAGCCACCCTATCCCCTCTTCTGGGGGTTAGCCAGGACCCTCCCCACGGACCCGCGCCTCGCCATAATGGGCATCAGTGACGCCACCCCGAGCCCTCTCCGAACCGGAGCAGCCGTCAGACTCTTACCCCCTTACTGAGTGGACCAAATGGTTATATTATATTTTTAAAATATACGAATAAAGACGGGATAAAAATCTAATCATTATATAAGAATTGATCTTCGCCATCTTACCGCTTCACTCCAGCCGCCAGAAGGAAACAAGGAAAATTGTACGTCCCCAGCCGTAGGCAGATAGCTTCAACTGTCTGCCCAGCAACGCGTCACTGCTATTTATAGGGTTTCTGTTTCGTCGCCCCGCCCTTCAAATTCGCTTTAATATCCTTCCGCTTAAAAAAGTAGTCCCCCAGGAGAACGTTCTGAAGAGCGAGTTCTGCTTCTCAATTTCTTTTCACTCGACGGGCAATAAAAAAGAGAATCAATAAACTAAATGGTATATGTCCCCCTGTTAATATAGGTCACGAAAGAATTGAGGAGGGGGAGGTAGTTAAGTGCGGATGAATATGCAGATAGAGGTAAAAAGTCCCCCAGTCGTCGGAAGAAAAATTCTACGAAGTCAAGAGGTAGGGCTAAAGAATTGCTTGGCGACAATTGGTAGAAAAGAGAAAGAACGGACGCTGATTGGCTTCCGCAAGATGCAATCGATAGGAAAGCTCTGGAAGGATCGGGAAATCTGCGCCTGGGCGGGGGGGAGGAAAAAAGTACCCCAGAGAAGCCCGCCTCTGATTGGCGCGCAGTGAGGTCATTCTTGTTGCTAAGGCCCTCCGTATTAGAGAAGAAGATTTCGAGAAACGGCAGGAAGGAAAGTGGCCCGCTTGCGCACGCGTAGAAGAGCCAACCTGGGCGATTGTGGGGGGTAGGGCTGTTTTAAGGGCTCCTTGGAGGGGGCAAAGGGCGGGAAAGCGGCTCTGAGGGGGTTAATCATTGATGTCCACCTCAAGAGTGAAAAAAAGATAAGAAAAAGGAGAGAACAGTATATATAAATCGCTTTTCTGTGTTAGAAATCAGAGCATATTTTTAGGTCCAGGGTGGGTTTTTTTCCCCTTCTCCGAATGCCTTTTTCTGAAGAGGAAATGTGACTGCCTTGAGTCCAAACTTAATTTTCTTTTGTTTTCCTACTTCAGCGTTTAAGTTTCCTTTTTTTTGGTCACCAAAACCACATGGTTTAACAAGACATGAATGTAGAAAAACAGGGAAAAAGAAAAGGGAAGGAAGGAAAAAAAGAAAAGAAAGAGGAAGATGAAATGCAAGAATAACACCCCCAATGGCCTTTTATCTAGGACGCCAATGCCCTCGGGATAAATACTTTTGAAAGGACAGAGCCTTGTTATCACCTAGATTTGGTTTTGAAAAACAGAGGAAGGCAACAGAGCTGCTAAAAGTTGTTTTCCACCACCTCTCTAATCCTGTTCCTGGAAAATCCTGTTTTTGCCTCTCCTCCAGGAATGAGGGACAAGGAACCCAGAGAACCAAGCTTGTTTTGCTTCTTGGAGGGTTTTATTATTTTTTAAGAGGTGAGACAGGCATCTGAAATCCAATCCTTTGTTTATGCTGTTGGCTGCAAGAGTTTCCTCCTCGGATCTTGCCCGAAAATGCTTGAGGAAAGGAGTGGGGAACAAAACTGGGTTGCATAACTGCGGCTTGTTTGTTTTTCCTTTTTTAAATATATAAGTAGAATCACCTCACAGAAGACTCTCTGAAGTTTGCTATTATGCTGGCCTATGACCACAATAAAGATTTGATTGATCGATTGAAGTTTGCTACGGAATAGCCTGGGCATCTTTTTTATTGAACTACCTTTTCTAAGAGGAACCCTAAAGGAGAAATCCTCCAAAATATGTTTGTGGTGGTCATAAAGTACGAAGGAAGAGGACTGAAGTAACTGAGAAGGGCTTTGTGTTGTTTAAGGATGGAGTAGGAAGCCACGGTTTGGCGTGGTGAGTGAGCACAGCCGCAGTCCTAGGCATCCAGTAAAAGCCACGATGGTGTCAAAATGATATTTGCGTCATGGCATGGTTTTGCTCATAGCGCAGGTACATAAGTTGCATAATTTATGCTATGACATCATGATCCATGCAACATCATTTGTCTCCTGCAGGTGACCATGGATGCTTTTGAACTTCGGTATCTCTGCTTGTGCAATGCTGGTTTGCTTTGCCTTAGTTTACTGAACAAAGTTCAGCTGACTGGGATCCATGCTATCTGTTAAACTGCAAACCATCATTTATGAACTGCAATTGCTGGTTTTATACAAAGTGCTAAACCAAAATCAAGCAGAAGATATTTTGGCTTAGCGTGTTGCAGAAACCCGGCATATTTGGGGATCCTAACCTAATAAAGATATGATTAGTGTGGATTATGGACTTGTTTTCAGCTTATCAGCTTGTTTTCTGCTTATCATGTGCTTAACCAGGTCTGTTAAAATTGTATGTGCATAACACATAGGCAGCAGGTCCAAGCTGTGAAGGGGTCTTGATGTCCTAGTGCAAAGAATGGGAATTGGGTAATTTGTGACAGATGCAGATTGCATAGTTTCTGTCATTTGCACAATGATGTCATGCTGTGCACAATTTCACTTGCTTCCCTCTCCCACAGATGCCCATGGCATAACTAGGTCATCTTGATTTATTTTGATCTTGGCTATTTTCTTTTTAGCTTAGTGTGTTGTGTAAACCCAGCCCACGGTTTGTGATTCAGCGTATTTTGCAAGCCTACCAAAAGGGCTGAAACAGCTGAGCTGTTGTACAAATCTAACCATTTGGCTTCCATACGTGGTACAGATTGTATTTTCTGTCCCCAACAGTCCGTACTAAGTTGCAGAGATGTTTTTGTGATAAAGCTGAATCTGCAGTCATTTGCACAAGCTGAATAGGATGGTTTTGTGGAGAAACTCCATTAGGGGAGGTTCATTGGTCTTCTGTGAATGCAGAGAATGATCTCCCTTTTGGAAATTTCCCAAGCTTTCTCACTACTTCTATATTTTTCTAACCTCGGAGAAACTGTTAAAGAAAGCAGACTAGTTGGGCAATCTCTTTAATTCAGGAACCATCCATTCCAAATATTTTTACATATTTTTTAATTTTATTTTGGCAGTGTCTGTCTCCAAAGCAACTCTGGACTGCTTGCAGTATAAAACAAAATATAAATACAAGGACATAAATAAAAATACAGTAAGGGAAGTATCACAATGGCAGTCTGAATCGCAATACAGGTAGTGCTCACTTAACAACCACAATTGGGACCAGCAACTCTGTTGCTAAATGACCTGGTCATTAACCAAGACATCATGTAACTGTGACAGACTTATGACTTCACTTCCACTGTGGTTGATAAGCAAATCACCCGCAGTCGTTAAGCGAGGCATCATGTGACCACAACTTGCGATTTTACTGCTGACTTCTCCACTGACTCTGCTTGTCAGAAGCCAGCTGTAAAGTGTGCAAGTAGCAATCATGTGACTGTGGGACGCTGCGACAGTCGTAAACACCTGCTGGTTGTGAGGCTCCCAGGTCACTCAACAGCTTCCTTCAAGGCAGACGTCACCAGCGCCTCTCTCAAAGAGGCTGACACACCCACAGGGCCCCAACTACAGCCCACCACTGGCCGCCTTAATCCTAGAGGGGCTTGGATCCCACAAACAGGTAGCCGAACTAACAACACAGAGAATGCTGTTCATGCTGTGACTTCCTAAAGAGTCACCACCTGAAACTCAACCCAGATCACAAAAGACCTTGCCTCTGGTACCTTGACCCAATCAGAGTCAACTCAGCACGAATCTGAGTAACTTCATCCACCAAAAAGGCAGAATATTCCTCACAGTAGCCCTGCAGATGGTCCTGTGTCCTGCCCCTACTGAGCAGGGACTGGATCGCTGTAAAGAGGCCCACTGGGCAGTTACCAACAGATGTAGTAAAGGTGGAGAAATATTAATGTTTCACCACCCTTATCGCCACGAGGCAATGCACAATACAGGCTCTTACCCATATTTCGCAGCAGGTCTTCCTCCAATGGCTCTCCAGTTGTAACTTCTGGTGCTTCATTTCCTGGAGCTACTCAGTAAACCAATTTGCACCCTGAGAACAGTGCACGGGGAGAGGCTGCATTGGGCTGATGAAGTCCAAGGCCCTGCCACCCACCGGTTCCAGGCGGTGACCCAGGCCTTGGTCAAACCACCCACCAGATTCTCAGGGAGAACTCCGGGCCCTGTCTGAACCCCATAGGATCCATCAAGTGCCTGAGGCAGGTTGGTTGAATAGGCTCTGTCTTCTCACAAGGGAGGGTGACACCAGTGACTCTGAAGGTAATCAGAGAGTAATCTGGCCACGGCAACAGGCAGATGTTAATGTCTTCCATTACCAGATCATGTCACAAAAACCAGATCTAGTGTGCAGCCACTGGTATGCATCAGGTCATCTATGACTTGGGGCAGGTCCATGGTTACCACGGAGGCCACTAACTCCTGAGCCTCCCCAGACTCCACACCACCAGGCAGCAAATTGAAATCCCCAAGGACTAATAGTCTTGGGGACTCTATTGCCAGCCTGGCAACAGCATCCAGCAGCCCAGGCAGGGATGCCGCTGGGCAGCAGGGAGGGCGGTATACCGGCAGCAATCTCAACTGTTCCCTAGAGCCCAACTCCAACCACAGGGACTCCCATCCAGTGCTCTGCGGAGCAGAGCCTCTGAGAACCTTCAGTGATTTGTGGATAACAACAGCTCGGCATCTCAGTTGACGCAAGACCCGAGACCCAGGTGGGCACAGTTCTAAGAAAGGATCTCCCGTGTGCCTTTTCCTTTTGGGATAAGCAAAGCAGAGGAAAAGATAAGAAACAGCCAACAAATGAAAGGCAGGAGATGAGATAAAAGAAACAATTAAAATTGGCTTGCACTAACATATTCGCCACCCATCTCCATACCTTTCTCCTCTTACAAATTACCTTTAAAAGAATTTATGCCCATCAATCAGAAGAATTCTGTGTCAATAAATGCCATGCCTAATGTTTGGCAATAATTTGTGGGGTTTGTCAATGCACTGATTTATACCTCTATATATGGGCATGTTTATGTTGCAAACATGGGGAAATTGTGATTAGTTCACGACATCTTTAAAACACATTTCAATGCTATCCTGATAATTCTGGATGACTAAGTGGCTGACAAACAGTTGCTGCCAGGCACATTGCAGGGCAAGCAACATACATCCCAGTCTTATGACCAGCTTGATCACGTTGGTGCATTTAGAGTTCCCAGAAGAACTGAAGTCAGTTAGGAACTCAGCTTGAGGTTAAAAAAAACCAGATCACTTGGCAACAGGGTAAAAAGAAAAAAAGCTGCTAGATGGAAAGAAGGTTCCATGTATTTACAAAAGAGAGATTGTGCAGAGTCTTGCACACCATTACAGAAGATTACTGCTTCGGTTATACCAAGACTTTTCTATGCAATAAGGACCCACATATCTTTTATATGAGAGTGTCTTGTTTGTCTCCTAAGAAAGAGAGTTAAACAATGCATAGGAAACTGCTGGTTTCCTTCTACTCACACTCTAATCATTTTTGTGGATGGGAGGTTGTTTTCCCCAAGTACAGATGCAGCCAGAAGTATTGTTACCCCGCCACTTTCCCCCAAAGAGTCCCAATTTGCCATGAAATAAGTTAAAACTGACACAAGTCAATGGCATCCACCATTTTTCATTCCATAGTCCATAGAGCAGAGGCTTTGCTTCTGATACAGGATTTAACATACCCTTGTAAATAATGAAACAGATGAAAATGGCACGGACATAATTATTGGTACCCCTAACCTAACATTTCGTAGTACACCCTTTTGAGGCAATAACCGCACTCAGGCACTTTCTGTAGTTCTGAATAAGACTTCTGCACTTCTCAACCGGCAATTTGTCCCACTCTTCTCGAGCGAACTGCTTCGGTTGTCTTAGGTTTGATGGGTTCCTTCTTGGGATTCTTCGGGGACAAGTGGACCAATACTTTTCACCGCATCTGTATGTCTCTCTCTCGGCCTGTTGAAAAAAGATAAAGTGGAGACAATCACTCTCTATGGGATTTAGATTAGATACATTTTTGGAAACTGCTTCAGCATAAACCAGTGTTTTAACCTTTGGCCTGTAATGTGCGTTTCTGTGCCTAATTATGCTTTTGCAAATGTCCTATTCTTGGAAAATATTACTGTTGGTTGATTATTTATTTATTGTAATTCTTCAAACCTCAACAAGCACAAGTAGCCCTGCTTAATTTTTAGAACTGAGCGGCAAATGGTTCTTTCTTTTGCTCCTGCTCCTTTGGCAAACCTCACAAAGCTGTGAAATTCTGATCTAAGTTGAGATGATCTAACAGTCTGGAAATGACAGCTGGGAGCTGGACATGCCCAGACTAAGTCTCTTTGGACAGGTCTGAATGCATCACTTGGTTGAAATGTCTACAGGTAGTCCTCCCTTAACCACCATTCGTTTAGCGACTGTCTGAAATTGCAACAGTGCTGAACAAAGGGACTTACAGCTGGCCCTCACACTTACAACCATTGCAGCGCTCCCATGGTCACATGATTGCGATCCCGGTGCTTGGCAACCAGCTCGCACTTACAACGGTTGCAGCATCCCAGGGTCACATGATCGCCATTTGCGACCTTCCCAGCTGGCTTCTGGCAAGCAAAATCAGAGGGGAACCATGTGATTTGTTTAACAACTGTGTGATTTGCTTAATGGCCACGGTGATTTGCTTAATGACTGCTGCAAAAAAAGTCATAAAATTGGGTGCAACTTGCTTAACAACTGCCCCGCTTAACAACGAATTTTCCGGTCCCTATTGTGGTCATTAACAGTACTAATTTTAAAAGCCAAAATGTGGAAGATTCTGGAAAAAATGGAGTAGGTTTCAATGAGATTAAACAGAAAGAGATCACGTTTGGGAATCTGATTTTTTTAACTGAATTCATTCTAAACCACAATATTAATTTGAACACATCCTAGCTTTACAAGAGGTCAGCACAAGGTGCACTGAATGTTTCTGTTAAACCTGGGAACTGGATAGCTCACCTTCCAGTCTTTAAAATACCCTCTAGGTGCATTTTGGCAGCAATCTGTTTCTTGATCTCAGTTTCACATTGAGACATGTAAAGCAAACTTACGTTGCTACGTATCCTGAAACGAGCTTTCTGAAAAACCTTTCTCAGTCCTTCCAACCCTCCCCGCTCCCTGCCACAAGTAATCCTTTGTTTGCATTGCCTGCTTTTAAGAAGCTTAATACTGGATTTGAGCCACTCAGGATTTCTTCAGGATTTCTTAGGGTCTAAAACTCCCATATGAGATTGAAATATTCTTCCTGGAAGACCAATTAAGAAAGATCAATATGAAAAAACTCTTCTTCTGCATCAATTGTTCCTCCAGTATAGCCATGAGACGGAGATTGACAGATGTCTCTCCAGTTGCTGTAGACTAATATTACGTTCCTAGAAGAGTGTCTCAGGGTGCCTTAGTTTTAAAATAAAAGCTAAGCAGGAAGTGGAACAGTTCAGCGTCAACAAACTTTCTAGCTTTTATAGTTACCAGAACGTGGCTGATTCTGAGACAGAGACTTCTACTGGGGAGCAACGTTTCACCTAAATAAGTGCGAGTTGCACAAGTTGTGGGTGGGTTCTTGCAGAATTTAAAAGCAGCTTACACAGGCAGGAAGCAGTTCTGGTTGGACCGGTGCCCTTTGCAGTTTCTCTGTCTGAATCACAAAATGGGCGTGCTTCCCAGAAACTTTGTACTGCTGACTCATGATCATGGAAACATTCCTGTTCAGATAGCAAGGCCGGAGGGTGGGGGAAGAAGAAATGTATTCTGATACCTGGAGTCCTGCACCATAAGCTATAAGGGAGCTTTGAACGTCACAGGATCTTTGGAAAGCAGGTCACAATTTCTAGTTTATTCTTTTCTCTGCTCCTCCTGGGCATCAGATTGTTTTTCTACTGTTGATCAAAATCCCTTGTTTCTGGGCTTCCTAGCAACAGATGTTAGTGGAAACAGTCTTGAAAAGAGTCATTTATTGACTCTTCAGTTTGAGCCAGTAAGGCTTGTGCATACATTTTTCAGATTTGCCCAATGGATGAATTAATTTAAGATTAATGAACAGGCTGAACTCCCATAACATAGTAAGCACCAAAAACAAAAAACCAAGGTAAATTCTGACCAAGCTTAAGCGTATTATACAAGGGGACCTAGTTAAGTGTGCGTGTTGTGTGAGCAGGAAAACCCTCTGGTTATTTTTGCAACTCATCCTTCACCTTCTGACCTAGGAGTTACTCTGCTTCAGTTTCTACCTTGTTTTCCTGAAGAAAAGTTCCAATGAGCTCTGTTGATGTTTTCACACAAATTTCATACAAAAATGTTCTGAGGAAGAGCAGAAGTAGGTCATTGTGCTCAGTTACATCCAGCTGTTAAGAAATTAACTTCCTTCTTGTTGGCAAGAGAGAAGAAAAGGTTGGGAGAGGAAAAAAATGGGCAGTTTGGAGAAGGGATGATTCACATTTGGGCTTTTCACAGAGGAAATTGTAATGATGGGCCTTGTAATCCAACATGCCTATCGCGCACCAGAATGGACTCATTTGCTTTAGATCCTGCCAACTTCTTCCCATAATCCTTGTTATGCACGTCTTGTTCTTGATGACAATTCCTTTATTGTTCCTTTTGTATACCATTCTGCCCCACTCAAACCCAATCAAACTTTAAAGCATAAAATGTCCTAATGTGCTCATTGGTTCTACTGCTATTACCGTGGCCTTGCTCTGCTATTAAAATCAATTCTGGGCTGGCAGAACCCCAGGAAATCTGTTTTTACCATGACAGGAAGAGCTTCTGGAGCAGCTCAGAGATTTAATTAAGATTTCCTGTTCATGTGACTGTGTCATCAGGAGTTGAGCTTGACTCAAGAGCATCTTTCCCTTTTCAGTTTGGGGATCATGAAATCCAGTTCCCATTACATGATCTCATCCCACATTAAATGCACATTGAACGCAGGACAAGAGGCGTGCTTTGCAAGTCTGTATAATAATCGTCTATCTAAAAAATTGGCCTGCTTCACCTGTAATTTATGACTGAATCACTCCTGCTGTTTATAGAACATGAAACTTCAAGCAGGAAACGATCCAGTTAGTCTTCTTTTTTGAAGGAGGTTAGTAATCCTGGAGGTGTGGGGTTACTGATCAGTTTTTGGAAGTCTGCCTAGCACCTGCTGATTATGGGAATTCTGACTTTGGAGCTTGAACTTGTCAACTTTCCAGTTACAGTCACTGTAAGAAGATGTTGGAGGATGGATATGGATAGACATGTGGTCTATTTGGGCTCTTCCAATGATCTGAGGCTCATGAGATCCAACCACATCACTTGTTCAGCTTCAGTTTGGAGCAGGCCTGCCCAACACACAGATTATGGGCCACACGTGGCTCACCAGGCAGCCTTATATACCCTGCCAGTGTTTTTTAAAAATCTCAAGGAAGCCATTGCTGCCAAACATTGTCACTGTCCTGAAAGACACACTGCTGAGTTCCTCCAAGGCCTCCAGGCTTCATCAACACCATCAGCTTCATCACTGGCCATTAGCTGTCTAACAGCTGATTGGCGTGCCAGCTATTCTTTGTGGCCCATGATGATTTTTAATGTATTAAATGTGGCCCTTCCCCACTACAAGTTGTGCAGGCCTGATTTAGAGGCTGAATCTGTGGCTGGTTGGACCGAGCCCTGCTCAACTTACATAGGAAATTGACTTGTGGCAAGCAGGACTGTTGTGAAACTCTTTTGAAACATCTGGAAAAACAGCCCAGGGAGGTCCGTCTTCAACTAGTGGAATAAGGAATGGGGCTGTTGGCAGTGAGTTGCCAAGGCTAGCAGCCCCCCAGACATAGCCCACGGAATAGGCAAACTAGCAGTAGTTACGAATTTGGTTCTGGGTGCAATTCAAGATACTAATTGGCATTTTCATGGGATAACTGGGGACCATCTTCCCATACGTTCTGCCCATCCAATAAGGACTTGCAAAAGGAGATCACCTTGTTCTTTCTCTAGGAGACTGGCCATTTGCAGGGATCTTGAAGGTGGCACTTTTTAATTGCTGCTCTTATTTCGAATAGCTTCCCCACTCCCCCGAGATCTGTGGGTTCCAGAAAGGCCATCCAAACCTTGCTTTTTCAACAGGCCTTCCAAGTGGAAATGTTGTGAGCTGTTCCTTTCCGCAACCTGGAGATAAATGAACATACAATTTTACCTCTGGCGCTGAGTTCTGTATTTATATTGTTATTTATGTTTTGGACTTCTCCACCATTTCATAAACAGGGTATGTATGCGGCTCAGTTTTTGTTGCAGTTGGAGTGGCAGAGAAGCTGCATGAATGAATAAGTAAGTAAATAAATAAATAAATAAGGAATA